GGCTCCACGGCCGGCCGGTGGTAGTCAACGGATGATGGCGGTGGTCACTGAATGTTGGTGGTGGTCGACGACGATCGACGATGGCAAGGATGATGTTGGACTGCAGCTCCTTCTTAAAGCCTTAAGTTCTCTCCCAAGCCTCCTCTCTCATGTGAGGGGTAAGACTCTATTTATAGTGTTCAGGTTACAATTAATGCAAGAATATGAACCATTTTGATCAAATGCTCCAGAGAGCTTCCCTAGATTTGATGACATTTGATGGACTTTTGAGTGCCTTAACGATGTCAAAATTAAGCAATCTTGGCAATCTTGGGCTAGTTGGATTTGTTGGATTTGTCTTGTCGAGATGCTCAATTCGACTATGAACTCAAAAGATTCAACATCCGTTTGACATTTCAAAAGCTTTTGAAAATCCTCTAAGTGTGGTTTAATGATTTGATCCAGACTTGATCTACCTCTAAGTGTGGTTTAATGATTTGATCCAGACTTGTTCTAACTCGGATTGAACTAGTTTTTATATCATTGGGTCCGTTTCATCGAGTCGGTCAGTTTGACCATAAGTTTGCTGAAATCAGAGCTCTGGATGACTTTTTTCAAGATTTTAATATTTCTTCCTCAACCTCAAGATTCGTGCGGATGATAAAAGTTTGTTGGTGGCGTATCAGGTTTCCCCTTATTTTCGGGCGAGTTTAATTTGGATGTCTGAAAATATCCAGATCTAGAACTTTTTAATTTTTGTCTTGTGTATGTATCAATACTCACACACACACACACACACACACACACACACACAAACACACGCGCGCGCGCGCGTATACATTCACACACACACACACACACACGCGCGCGCGCGCACGCATATACACATACATATATCTTTTTTTCCTTGTATATAAGAATAATTTAAATCCTTATATTTTTAAGGAGCTGATCTAAGTTTAGTTGGCAGAATTTTTTCTTCTTCACGCAGGTGATGAGTGTCAAATCCTGCCTCAAAAAAATAGTTATAAATATTTTTTAAACTGATTTGTTTTTCGAGCCAGCCTCTCCGA